CGCCACTTGTTGCAGCCACTCACCACTTTCGAAATCCTGATGTCGTCTTGTCAGAATCTGTCAGTCCTTCCTGTGACCCTTGAACTCCGCCTGTCCTGAGTTTCTTCCTGTTTTATGCCTCCAGTGTTTACTCCCCACGTGCCTACTGCGACTTTGGTTCTCCACAACTGGATTCTTTCATGTTTTTCTTAGTGTTTTAGTGTTTCCATCCCTTTATTCTGCACTCTTGGTCTGTCTCCTACACCAGATAACTTCTCACACTGTGTGTTCAGTTACTCATTGAACTCTAGGTGGTTTCCACCTGCATCTTTGAACGCTTACCTAGAGATCCTCCATAAGTCAAACTTTCTACCATTTGGCAATGTGAGTACCATCTTTTTCAACGTTACACGTATAACTTGATTAATATATACCAAAGTTAGAATTATGGAATGAATATATAATGAAGATTTTATTCAGTTTAGTAATTAAGGATGGGATAAAACTGGCCCAGAGAGCGTTCAGGGGACTTGCTATTTATAGGCAGCTCAGTAAAGATGTCCTCAGGTAATCCAGCTGCATCTTTGGGGTTGTCTGGTCTACTGGCATGGAACTTACTCGTGTTTCTGCGAGGCACATATCTGTAAGTTAAGTTAGTACATAAATTCTTGTCTGATCCTCTAATTAGTGGCAAACAGAAAAGTCGTACTACTGTCCTAGAAATTTAAATAATCCCTAGAGGAATTTACGATGTTGAAAGGTATGTGATCATGTTTCTGGGTATGTTTCAGAGACCTTTTCATAATCCTTGTCACCAGAACAAGGAGATTGAAATACATTTTAGTGTCTGCTTTTGTGTGTGTGCTGAAGTCGGACAACCACAGTGCTGTTTCCTTCAAACTGCACATTTTATCATTATAATGTCTTCCATCTCTTCGTTTCAAAATTCTGGATTCTTCATGGTATCATTTAGACTTACTCCAAGTCATATTTCCCCACACTTCAACTCCAGGGAATGCTAAGCATTCCACGGTGAATTTCTTGACTCCTCAGAGCCTGCTCTCGGCTCTAGCTTTTACTGGACCTTTCGCCCTGCTCAAGAGTGAATTAAGTCCTTTACCTTGTTTGCCACAGTGCCTTTGACCACAGATCTCATGTAATGTTCTCCGTGATAATTACTCGTTTAAGGATTGGCCAGCTAAGCTGATATTTTTCTTCAAAGAAATGTGAAAGGAGTAGATTTCTCAAGGCATGCCCCTTACTGTTCAAATGATCTGTTTCTGCTTTGACTTTTAGAAAAGGTGAATGTCTCATTATTTTCCTTCATTCATGTAGCCATAAAGCGTAGTCATAACGGGCATGGACTTGAGGACCTGTCTTTAAGTGGTGTCAGCTGTTGAATCTGTGTTGGGTTATTTTAACTTTGTCTCTGTTTCTCTGGAAGGTTATCTCCAGTACCAAATTTGTAAGGTTGTTGTGAAGATTAAACAAAATTGTACTTTACTCGATAGATGGTAAATCAGAATAAGCTACCTAAATCACAGATTACCCATATAACTTTAATCTTAATAGTCACTTTCAATCCTATTTTTCCAGTAAATATTTTCTAGTATTATAAAATATAACTTGTAAATATTGTTGTTACTTGTGCATTATTTCATCACACCTTCATTTTCAGGTAACTTTGCCCTTTTCCCTATACTCAAGATCTTAATCTCTGTTGTTATGAACGTTTTCTGATTAACTGGTTAAAAAAAAAAAGACCCCGATTTTTCCCAGTTTCTTTAAAGTAAACATTAATAAACCACATACAGCTACTTAAAAGAGATTGACATCTAGCTCTGCTATGCCTACCAGCTGCTGGTTTTTGATTACTGCCTTCTTAAACCAGAGTGAAATGTACGGACCCAAGTGGTTTTGTGATTTTTGTGATTGGGGTGGGGTGGGAGGTTGGGTGGGCTATTTTTTTTGCTCAGGTTCTTTTCTTCATGATGATTGAACCCAATGACTCCACTTCTTAGCCCCCCCACCCCTACACCCCCTGCCAGATTTTGCCAGTCATGTCATTGTGCTTGTGGACACGCCTTCTAGAGCTGATAGCATGTCAGACACTGTTAGAAGAGCCTTAAACATGCTATGTAATAGTAAAAACCTAAATTTACTATTATCTTTGAGCTGCTTGGTTGTTTTAGTGCCTGTCTCAGCACCTTTCAGTGCCTCACTTTTAGGGAAACTTAAAGGTTATTCATTCCCATTTTAAAGTTTTGCTTTTGAAGTCTTTGCCATTCTGACTTAAGCCAGAATGACTTTTATTCAGATTAGTGTTTGGGGCTAGAGTGGGGGTGGGGATCACAGAAAATAGGGCCTGAGTGGTCTTTTTAGGATGAGGAAACTTTTCAAAAATTGGATTGTGGTAATGATCGCACAACTCAGAAAATTTACTGGCAATGTTACTTACATGCTTCAAATGTGAATCCTGTAGTGTGTAAATTATACCTAACTAAAGCTTAAAGGAATGATTTGGTACAAGCAGGTTGCCTTCTGTTCTGTTTTGTGTAGTGTTGCTCCGCTATATCTGACCTACCCAAGGCCTAGTCATTATCATCAGGTATATATAGTCGTTCACACCTGCAGTTCCAGGTGCTTTTTTACTTTTCTCTCTTCCTCATTAATCTCAAAAATTACCCATTAATAGGCTATTGGCTGATAATGCTGCAGGTGATCTCTGAAGATGCTGAGAGCTTTACTAAAGGTATTCTGGTAACTGCGAGTCAGAGTGACCAGTCGGCTTACGTCCATCAGAATGAGAGCTCCTCCAGACACACAGTAGGCGCGTCATAGCAGGAAGGCAGGGGGGTCTTCCAGTAACTGTATTCTTTGCTTTTCAAGGTAAAAGCAGTAGTCTCATGCGAATTTCTCCTATCCTTGCTGTTTAGGGTCCCTGTGAAATGGCATTGAGATGCTGTTTGAAGTGGTAAAACTTGGATGAATCCTGAAATCCAGACTGGCCTTTCATTTCATTCCTTAACAGAGTGCAGTTATTCTCTCTGGGAAGGACGGTCAGGAGCGCTCTTTTAAAAAATGCGCTTCTAGACTCTCTGAGGGGAGAGGGGCCAGGTGCTCATATTTTGACAAAGCCTCCCAGGTCGCTGTGAGGCTCACCCTTTGTTAAAAAACACTGTTTTATAGTAAAACTCACATTTAAAAACTATAGTACTAAAAATTAAATATTCATTAGCAGTGGTTTTTATAGTAAAGCTTCCCTGATCACATTATTTTGTTTTACCACAAGTATTCTTTCAGTCTTCTTGATAAGTGATTACAGCAGTAACAGTAACAGTTGCTGTGTAGTGGGCTCTTGCTATTTTGTTTAAGAAGTTTGCCTGGGTTTTCTCATTTAGTTCTCACAACTATTCTCTGATGTAAGCTCTTTATCCATATCTGTTAGACTGAACGAAGCCCCAGGAGCTGCGTCTAGACGAGGTCATACAACTAACTCCTGGAGCGCCCAGTCAGGGTTGGAACCTAGCTAGCATTTGACTCCAGAGCCGCCTCCTGTCACTACTGCTCAGCGAGGGAACTTGTTGCTGCTTGCAGCAGTCAGTAACCTCTCAGGGCCAAAAGAATTGACTGCTCACATCCAAACTTCAGATCCCAGATCTCGTTCTCGAGACGGAGCCTGTTGGGCAGATCCTTCTGTCAGTGTTCCCATGTAGCAGTGTAGAAAGGCACACCCACAGCCCGTAGGACTCAAACGCACAGATCAGCGCTGCGCTGCTTCCCCTATCGGCGCATGCCAGCTCAGCCTCCCTTTTTTCTCTTTCAGTGTTTGCATAGTATTTTTTTTTTCTTCTAAAGTTGGCAGTAATTGCATTAGTGATTTGAACTTTATGGTCAGGGTTTATTTGGTACATTCATGGAGGGCATGGCCATTGTAATCGCTTTCTGTTGCAGTGGGTCAGATGTAACTCAGAACTCATTTTCCTGTTACAAGCCATGGACTCTCTTAATACCTAGTAATAACTTAGTTTTGATTAATTTATGTTCTTTGACATCAGTTTCTATAGCATACTACCAAGCGTTCTCTTCCCTCCTTAATAAAAAGTTTAATTAGAGACTTTGTAAATTGTGAAACATTTGATTCAAAGTAATCCTTCATGGTGGAAATACTGGCTTATTTTATCAGCTGCACTAATTTTCGTTGCGTATCAGCATTTTTTCCCTGTGTGCTCTTCCTATAGACAAAGAGTCCACATTCATTAAGAACTGTGTGTTAAGCTAAATTGTTATACCTTTGAACAGTGTTTACAATTTTGTGTTGCTAATAACTGAGGTAGGTGATGCCCTGACTTTATAGGAGGTAAATGAAATCTGGAGGTTACGCGTCTTGTTCCTGGTCTTGGGTGCACAGCTGATGCTGAAACTCAGGCTATCTGGGGCCATTGCTCATTCACTCTACTCCTTGCACCTTGCCCGTCTCCACCAAGACGTCATTCATTCACAGTTGACTTGACATTATTGTTCTTCACAGCAGTACTGCTAAGCGGCTTGACATTTGTTGGTTTTAGTTGTGTGGTGGAGGAATCACGGTGTCGGCTGTAGTTTATACCCAGGCAGACTTCTTTCTGATGGCCGGTCTTCCTCTCTTCGGCCATGTTCTGAATTTAGGTGCAGTGCCGTTTTCAGAACAAGTACCAGGATGTGGAAACAGACAGACTTATACTTGTGCTGGTTTTTTTTTTTTTTTTTGAATTGGGAGTTTCCTGGGTATCCTTGAGAAATCTTAAGTTCATTTTATGTGCTGGGTTCTGGGCCACCTGCCTTGCATTTTGGCCTGTTACTGACATTTTATGACACGTCAGTCAGACTTCACGTGTTGATGAGACAGTCCCGCCTGGGTGGAGGCCGTGCAGTCCAGCTGTGTACATGAAGTTCCTTTCATCTTTGTTGCCTCTCATTTCTTTTCTGTGTTGCACCATGTACGTCTGATTTTTTATTTTTCTCATTTTTTTTTCTTTTAGTGAATGGTAGTGTCTAGAAAGGGTATGTCCCTTCAAGAGAGAGGTGCCAATGTCCAACCGGCCTAATAACAATCCAGGGGGGTCACTGCGACGTTCACAGAGGAACACCGCCGGGGCCCAGCCACAAGACGACTCGATAGGAGGAAGGTATGTATTTAATGGTAATTTGAAAGGAATTGGGTATTTTTAAAAACCTCGACTGGTTCTCTACAAGTGGGTAATTTTACCCTAATATTTGAGCCAATAATAACACAGACTGGACTTCATAGTGATTCTTTAACCACCCCCCAAATATGGGAGGCTCAAAAATTAGTTCAGTCACCAGCACCATCAGAAGTGTAACTTAGGGCTGTTAGCATGTGGTATGTCGGGTCTGTTCGCCCTTTCTCTTCACTACCCTAAACACATACTGCAACGCATCTTTCAACCATTTGTGGTCCCTTTTTGTATGTCTTGACTTTTAATTTATTTACCTTATTGAGAGGAAATTTCATTTGTTTTTAGGAACTTGAGCTTTGGTATCTTGCTGCTTTTGAGGCTTTTTTTTTAAAAAAAAAATATATCTGTGTGTGTATATATATAGGTATATATAATATAGTGATGCTGATGGTTGGTGGGACAGTCTTCCTTGCATTTTCTTAGTGATCTGTTGTTCAGCTGGTCTTCTTAACGTTGAAGTAATTGTCCAGGCGGTATAGTGTAAAGAATCAAATGCATCCTCTTGATGTAAAATTCTGAGTCTGAGTTAGCCAAGGACGATCATTTTTATATGACATGCAGAACTTTACTAGTGTGACCTCCTTCCCTGATCCATACATTAATCATAGTTAGCTTGCAGTAAATAGTGGCTGAATTCCACGATAGCTCTGGATGCTGCATATCGTAGGCACTATTATGTATATATTGTCTGGTAAATTTAAAAGCACGTGAAAGGTCAAATGTAAAGACTCAGCTGAACACACGTTGATGTCAGGTTGTTGTGGTGGAGGCCTGTAGACTGAGGCTCCCTTGCAAGGGTCTGTCTCTGCCGTCCAGGGGTTGTGTGACTTTTCATTACTTTTCACAAACTCAGTGTTGTAGTCCAAACACAAGGGATACCTGTTTCATGGGGTTGTGTGTTAACATTAGGACTGTAGCTTGTTAAACCCTTAACACAAAGCTTGGTACAGAGTTCTGTTCCAAAATTGCTTTTTACTTTTTTACATTCAAATGATTCCTTGGAGCAGCCATACTTTAGGTTGGTGATTTAAAGAACACCATTCTCCCATTAGAAAACTGTTACATCTTTAGAGAATTTTGACCATACAGAAAAGCAACTGCGTCCGCAGTCACTAATGAACACTCGGCACTGATCTGCTTCTCCGTGCCTGTATACGGCTGTGCGCGCCCACAGTGAGTATGCACATCTGTGCGCGTGGGTAGCTGTACCTGCGGACAGCTGTACTTTGAAACATCACTCATGTTACCTTTTGACCGTGATTCTTGACTGCAGAACGCTAGGGCTGCCACCTACCACATTGCTTCTGAAGTCCGGTGATGTTTCAGCATTATCTTTGTGTGTCAGTGTTAACATAAATGTATTTGCATACCTTGTTCTATTATGTATTTGAGAACTATTAGCATGAAATAAGTGGAAGTGGTTAATACTAGAGATTAAGATGCATTAGTTGAAATGAGTTTAAACTACAGTTGGTTTAACTCGGACTTATAGAGTGGTAAGTCTCTTGCAAGTAGTTTGAGCTTTAAGCCCTCATATGCTTAATTTTGAAGGAAAAGAGCAGGAAACATGCTAAAGACTATAAAGCAAACGTGGCTGGGGGTTAATAGCTTTACTTTGCCCCCTCTCGTAGCAATGTAACCCCATTTAGCGCTCACAGTTTAATTATTTCCATGTTTCAGAAAACATTTCCCACCAGAGTATGTACCACAAAGCTCATTTACCTTTTTAAAACCTGGTATTACCATTTCCTGTATCATTAAAAATTGTTTAAATATTTTTTTGGTCTTTATGTTCTGAACCATCATTTAGTAATACGATTTTTTTTCTTCTTTTATGTGACATTGAAATTTAGAACTTCAGACTTTTTAGATCTTATCCATTTGAGTAAGAATGCACATTAGAAGATAACTTGCTGGTCTGAATTTCATTTTGCTCTCGAGACAGCTCAACTCTTCTGCTTATGTTGGAGTCTCAGAACTGGAAGGGGTCTTCTCAGCAAGCTCTGGACTGTCTCTGTGACACCATGCTGGTGTGAGCTTTCCCAGTTACGGTCTAGCTAAACTTTGCGAACCCGGGTGGTCTCTGGGTGGGAGAGGACCCATCTCACTAGGCGAGAGTAGTACAGCCTTTTCTGATTCCTACGGCTTAGCTTTCCTAAGTAAAACACTGATTTTGTGGCTTTTGTTTCTTTAAAATCAGGGACTGGTCTTAGAAAGGTGTTCTTGGTGATACAGGAATTCATGTAATGGCAGTGACTATCACCATCTATTACAAATAGCATCAGTTGAGTGTTAATTGAAAACAACTTTTACACAGTCTATCAGTTGAAATTCACAGAAAGCTGTGTGCTAGGTGTCTGATTCCTGTTTTCCAAGTGTATTAGTTTGCTCCTTTTTGTTCCACTTGTGCCTGGACTTGGTGTCTGTCCTCTTGACTACAAAGTCATGGCTTCCATTGTTATGCCAACCCCTTGATCCATCTGATGGACTTAAGAGGAGGGTATGGGACTTTTACAACCGAAGAATACCAACCCATTCCACTTAGAATTTAAGTGGTGGTTTTTCCCTGCTAGAATATAATTCATTCATTCTTGACCCACCATTTTCCTATGAACTGGCATTAAGCTATCTTGGAGTAGCTTGCTTCCTTCCATTCCTGCCCTTTATTTTGTTTTTTAACTATGTGTAGTTGTCACCCATCTTTAAGATGAAAGAATGTTGGTTCTCTGGGGTCTTTTTATTTCTCCTCATTATTTCCTCTTTGCTTTTTCACCCACTCTTCATAATTGAACTAGGTGTCTGTTTTTCTCTTCCCCTTCCCTTGATAATATTTTGGTCGATAGCTTGTTCGTTCCTTTCTCTTCTGTTGTCTTTTCCTTTAGGACGTCTCTCCCTTGCACTGCTGTCTTGGCTGCTCACAGGGATGCTTTCTAGCCTTCCCCATCAGCACAGGTGTCCCTAGGCTGCCCTCCCTGTGGAGGCGGCTTCTTCATTACGTCGTGCTTTTTCTTGTTTTTCTCAAATAGCAGTGGTGGGAGCGAGTTCAGTTTTAAAGCAGCTTTGGTAGAGATCGTGTTTGGTAGTGATAGTTGCGTCATCATTTTTTTTTTTTTTTAAACATAAGAACAGAAAATTGGGACGCTTCAGAGAAATGAAAGAAAATGAGATTTTTACTCAGTCACCCAGAGATGAGCATGGTTAATATATATTCTAGTCCATGATTTTCTTGGATGTGAAAACGTAAGATTTAAATTTGCACCTGATAGTGGGTCCCCTTACCCACCTACCCCTTTTTTCTTGTTAAATATATTGTATACATTTTGGAATAAACTTTAAGAACTAAAATTTATATTTTTTAAATAAAGTAGTGAACCTTTAATCTCACAACACTGAATTATTAATGTTAGATTGGCTAAACTGAGAGGTTAGGAAAATTTTGCCAAGAGTTAAACTTTTTGACCTTAAAAGTTTGAGTATGTCTCTGGCTTTGTCAGGTTAAATTCCTGAAATGGGTTTGTAAGACCAATGGTATGAGTGATTAGGAAACTGGAAACCGTTTGCTGAGTTGTCTTTTAGAAAGATTGAGCCACTTAATCTTTTTATTTGACTTCATTTATACGCTTAACTAAATGCTTTGTGAGTCACCATTTCTCTGAGTCCTAGCCAATATAGCATACTATTTTTGATGAAATTTTGTGGAAAATAGGAGGCCTTTGGTTACAGTTATCTTTTCTTTAGTTCCTGTAGCGTCGAAGATCTTCCCACATACTGCCCGGTTTTGTTTTATGAGTTGCTTGCTTGTGCCCTTGTCTTGTTCTTTTGTGAGCGCCTTTTATGGAAAGGGTATCGATGTGTTAATTAACTTGGCAGGTATTTTACCTCATTTTATTACTTGTTATGTTTTCTTTTAGTTTATAGAAGTTTTAAAATTAGATAGTCAAGTCTACCAACTGTTGCACCAACCTTTGCCTTCTCCATCACAAGAATAACTTTCTTAGTTCTGTTATGGCTCAATTTTTTTCATTTTACTAGTCTTGTCATTTTTTTTTTTTAAGATTTATTTATTTGTGCATACAGTACTGGGGTATAGGCCAGAGGCTCAGGGCGGTGAGAGGCTTCACCAGAGACAGAGTGGGGAGCAGAACAGGCAGACCAGTGAAGTCCACTGCTGAGGGGAGCAGCGGGCGGGTCAGGAGAGGTCTGCCGCGCCATGTGGTCACCTCCGGGGCAGGCGGGAATCGAACTCATGTGGAAGTGGCTTTAGCTTGTCAGTGCTGTGCTTTAACCCGCTGCGCCACCAGGGAGGGCCGTCATTTTTTTTTAATGGTTGAATCCATGTCTACTCCATCTCTCCCAAAACAAAAAAAAATTGTTTTGTCTGCAAATGCTTTAATAATTACTGCTAATGGTGTAAAAAAGCTGTTTTTTGGTCTGACTTACCAGTTAAAACTTTTTGTTAACATGATCAGAGCAGGGGCTTATTTTATTTTATTTTATTTTATTTTATTTTATTTTATTTTATTTTATTTTATTTTATTTTATTTTATTTTTTGGTCAGCATTGATTACACAGAAGGGCTGTTTCAAAGGAATGGGGTAAGACAAGCACAAAAGGAACATAAACATCACCCAGAGATAAGTCTCTGTCACATTTTGATGTTTAGTTGTCTTTAAAATATAATTTACCATGTGACTGATGACACCTCATTTAAAGGTTTGAATACTTCATTTATACTCAACATTTTCTGAAGTCATTGTGGTGTTTTGGTGTTTGCTTACAAATGACTACATGAACTTCAGGAATGAATATACATACTTTCCATGAGTACTTTTTAGTGTAGTTAGATGGACGGTTGTGTGGTAGACACAAGGTTTAAGTTTATTAAATGCTTGTATTGTAGACATCTCCTAGTAGTCCTTGAGGGTGTA